AAAACATACCTAACCAATGCTGTTTTTTTCAACAGGGGGTAAGTGATCCCAGCCAACACACCTATGTGGGGCCCATAGGGGCTGCAACTGGGCTGATATCTGGGGCCCACCTGGGCTACCCAACTGGGACCCAGCTAATTTTGTCCTCAGTTTCCATGGTGGCCCCACATGGGTTAGCACAGATGGGCTGATGATGGGCCCTTGATGGGCTCCATATAGGGCCCATATGGGTTAACCAGGTAGCTCCCATTTGGTGCCTACATGAGCCTGCCTACATGGGTTAGAGATGGGACCCAACTAGGTCTTATGTAGGTCTCTTATGGGCCACAACAGGTATACATATGGGCTAATATATTTGTCTGTTTGGGTTACCTTATTTTACGTTAAACCCCTAAACCCAAACATTACATTAAATCCACTAAAATTGTAAAGGTATTCAATAAACAGAAACCAGTACTTCAAGCTTCTAAGCAAAGTTTATTTGGAAAAATTTAAACATGACTATTTTAACTTGTACATTTACAACTTTATAAAAAAACTATCTAAAAAAGTTCATTTTAAGCTCCGGAAAAACTTTATTTCTTGTAACAACTTCAGAACTTGTATTCTGCATGCTTTATTAAGCAAGGTTTCATTGGAATAATTTGAACATGACCATTACAACTTGTACATTTACAACTTTCTGGAAGGTAGGGTCTGCCAATTGCTGCTCCATTGCATCAAAATCCGAGACCGTCCAATTACTTTCTGTAAGAAAAAAATGCTTATTAATTAAACAAATTTAAATTTAAATTTAAGCAAAAACATTTATATAGTCATAACATTTTGTATGATTTATAATAACACCCAAATGCAAACTGATGCAGATTTATATAAGGCAGAAACTCCTGTTTGCATGATAAATATTAAGTATTGTTGTAATATTATTGTATTTTATGTATTGTTAAAAGTACAACAGCCTTATTGTTTACTCTTCAAATCGACATCTGTCCCAGGCTACCTTATTTACACTAGATTAGCTTACACTAGCTTCTCTGCTATATAAGCCATTTGACCTCTTCATTGTAATCTTCCTGTATCGTGAGCACACAGCCCGGTGCCAAACTTTGCAGTTTAAGTATGAGCTTTTTTAGTGTCTTGAACTTTTAGAGGGCGTAGGGAACACAAAGACATACAGCATTCTCGTTTAGACATTGGCGCCAGAAATAAGAGGAAAATATGGCGCGAGCTGTGTATGATGTCTAAATTTTAACGTGACAAAAAGCCAAACTATGTTTCGGTTAACATTATGGTTTGTAAACAATGTATTTACATGCTCAACATTTTAAGTTTTAAAATTGTAATTCTTACCTTGGATACACTGATGGCAAACGTCTCCTCTCCTCCCGAAAATTACAGCAAAGCGGTCAGTAAATAATTGCGCCGGCGTGATTCAGCGCATGCCGGGTGGGGGATGGGAAATGCTGAATGAAATCACGCGGGATCTGTCCCATGCAGATCGAGGAGGGGCTGCATCTCGCGGTAGTTTGATGTCATACGTGTCCCGCGGTAGTTTGATGTCATACGCCGATCGTTCTGTGAAGTGCCGA